CCTCCCCGGCGCTGATTGGCCGGACGCGACCGAAGCTCCGCCCCTTCAGGCCCCGCCCAGGTGGGGGTCGTAGGCCCGAGCCACAGGTAGGAGCCCAGGTGTCCGCGCTCGTCGCGGCTGTCCCCAAACGTCCTCCCACGGCCGCGGGGGCGCCAGGGCCCGTCTGCTGTGCCTCAGGTTCTGGGACAGATGCTTCCTGCGTGTCACGTTCCGCTGCTCCGTGAGCGGGCGGCGCTTTGATCTCCGCCTGACGGAAAAGCGAGCCGAGGCGTTAGTCACCCGCCGAGGACGGGCATCGGAGCCCGCCGAGTCGGAACGGAGCCCGCCAGGCGCAGAGGGACGCCGTTTCTACGCAAGACCCACTTAGGGAGCTGGAGGCCGAGATGGGCACACCTTGGCCCCGGGGCTCCTGGCGCAGTGGGCACAAGGCAGGCTTTGCCGCCGAGGAGCTCCTGCTCCAGCTCCGCGCTGCAGCTTTCACTCCGCAGCGTGGGCGCGGGCGAGTCAGTGCCTCCGCTGGAGAACGTAGAACCCGAACCAACCAGACGTGGAACATGCGTGAAGGGCAACTAGTTGAGAACCTGGCAGGGGGCAGTCTGCGGTCGTGGTCATTTTTATCTTTTGTGCAAACATTTTTTTTTTTTTAAAGATGACCGGTAAGGGGATCTTAACCCTTGACTTGGTGTTGTCAGCACCACGCTCTCCCGAGTGAGCCACAGGCCGGCCCCTTCTGCAAACATTTTTAAACACCTGCTATGTGCCAAGTCCTGCGCCAGATGTTGTAGATATAGAGATTAAATAGATTAATAGATTAAAGCAGATGCTCCCCTGTCCCCCCAGGGTTTGACTCCTGGGGCACAAACTCTTCACAAACCAAAATGTCAGGACATCCTTCCCAGTTACCACTGCCCACTGTCTGGAGGTAGGCAGCCAGGAGCCCCTGAACTAATCAAGCCTGAGGAAAGACTGCATGGGGAGCGAGGGCGGTGAACCCTTCCAAGGTCATTCCTTGATTCCCCAGTGCAAGCTCACCAAGAACAAGCACTACCTCTGATGAACTTTCTTACCAAAAGAGTTCGGTACACCTTTCTTCCATTCATTTGTTCTTTCCTTTAATAAATGTTTATGAATGACTACGTGTAAATATGAATTTGCACCGCTGACCCTCGGGGTTTTTTTGATGGTTTTTTTTTTGTTTGTTTGTTTGTTGCTATTTTAAAATTATAAAAATAACCACTTAGTTCTATGAGGCGTTCTACAGGTTCCATTTGCCCCTCCACACACCAGCAATTCTGCACAAATCCCCATTTCCCCTGTCCCAGGGTCTGGAACAGAAGAAAATTTCTGGCTCTCCTTAGGAGTATCTGCTTAATTCATCCAGCCCATATTTGCACCATGCTCATAAAGTACCTGTTTCTAAGAAATCGGCACAATACCAACATCTAGTTCAACAAGGTAGAATGTTCATTCATCTCAAGAATATTCATGGAGCATGTATAAGCCAGGCATGGCCTAGGTTCTGGGAACACAGAACTACCTAAAACATCACTTCTACACCAAGTTCACAGCCTGACGGGGAGAAGAAAAACAGGCTATTGCAATGTCTGTCCTGTAAAAAGTGTGTTACTTGGTGCTCTGGAACCACAGAGGAGGGAGGAACCAGCTGTCCAGCTGGCATCACAGGAGCTTTACAGAGGAGGTAATATCTGAATTGGTTCTCGATGATAAGTTTTTCCAGCAGAGAAGGGAGAAAGAAGCCCATTCGGTATATACTTTAGGAAAATGAGAATCCCAGCTTTCACTCTTTTTCATTCCCCAGATTGCAAAATCAATACGAGGAAAATTGTAAACAGCCTAAATACCATATGGGTCAGCTGCCAAAAAAAACCCCCAAAAAACAAAAAACAAAAAAAACCCCCAAAATGGCCAACAAAAAGAGACTAGTTAAATCATTGCACTTCCAAATGACAGAGAACTTGCTCATATTCACAGTTATATTTAGCCAACTGTCTAATGACAGGCAAAATTCTTTATCCTGGTTGTGGTGGTAGTTATTCTACTATACGCATTTGTTAAGACTCACAGAACTGTACACTGATATGTAAAGTATGCCCTAATTTTTATAAATGGGAAAGAAACTTGTAAAAAGCAAGTTACAAGCAAGTATATATAGTGTGAACCCACATTCAAAAAAGAATGTGTTTAGGTGAAAAATGTATTATGTAAATTTATTAACTTGTATATAAAAAATTCCAGAATTTTTAAATTAAAGAGATAAATTTTTAATGAAATGAGTTTTATATGAAATAAAATATTTTTGAAAAGTGAAATTAAATTTTTTCTCAAATTTGTAAAAGAAACATATATGCTCTATGTGTAAATATTTTTACAGTATTCAGTTTGTTTTTTATATTTCTCTCTCTCTATATATATACAGTATACAAGTATATACCTTTATATAGTTGTGTGTGTGTGTGTGTGTATTCCTAGAAGGACATACAGCACAATGTTGGCAGTGGTTATCTCTGAGTGGGATTATGGTTAGAGTTTTCATTTCCTTCTTTGTGCTATTTTCTGTTTTCCAGATACTTTATCATGAATGTACATTATTTTTATCATTAGGAAAAGTGTGCACAAATATTAGTTTAATAAAACCTGGGCAAGAAAGAACCATGAAGAATTGCTTTCAGGAAGCTGAAATGACTTAGATGTAGTTATCCATACCACCCAACTAAACTAAGTAGTATTTATCTGAAAAACATTTCAGAGGTTGGGTGGCATCCTTATAAAGCTCTGTCAAGAAAACAATGAAGACGTTTTCACTCCAGTTCTTCTGTTAAAGGCTTGATAAAGAAAATATGGTAGTAAGGGTGGGGAGGAAGCAGAGAATTCATTAGCATAGCCAGGATTCTATTTTTGCAAATGTGGCTGCTGCGGAGGCCCACCAGCCTCCACTCTGGAAGGTATCTGGATGATGTAGTTAATTGTCAACCATGAGCGTTACCCAGGATGCTTCTGCATTCTAGAGAAGTAAGCTGCACAGGAAGGAGAGTTCCTGCTAAGATCAGGGTGTGTCCCTGATCTACCTAGAACTTGTAAAGCAACCTAATGAATGGTGCTGTGACAACACAGTTCTGGGGAAGGGCTGAACAGAAGGGCTGGGGGTGGATGGTGGAGGAAACCAAAGTGCAAAACTGCAAAACGGATTTGCCTGTAGACACTCAGCTAGTTTGTGGCAGAGCCGGGACTGGAGCCTTGAGTGAACCCAGCGCTCTTGATTCCAGGTGCTGTTCCCTTGTTGTGAACAATGAATGGTCTCTTTAATGGACAACTGAAGTGTAAGCATTTTATCCGTGGGTCTCTAGTGCAGTCCAAATTATCCCATCCCTAGGGCACAGAAATACCAATTTATTTATTCATCTCATTTCATCCTTAAAATAATTCCCCACCTGGCTGTTTCTTTATTCTTCCTGTTTTGCAGATGAGGAAACTGAAGTCCTAGTGGCTGCTAACCCAGGGAGATCACGGCCTGAGTTCTGGTTTCCATGGCAGTTCTATTTGTCATAGTAAACCAATTAATTGGAATTTTGGTCCATCGATGAGCCTGTTGGGAACTTGGTTTGTTCGGGTCAGCCCAGATTGTAGACACCTACAGTGAAGTGATAATAAAACCACATTTGCAGAGCATTTTACAAAGAATGCCTTATCCATTCCCACAAATCCTCACAAGTCTATCCTACATATTTTTATATGAGAACACTGAGACTCAAAGTTTATATAACACATCCTATACCCCACAGTTTATAATGTGGTAGAAGCAAGGGTTTGAACCCCAAACTCTCTGGCTCCAAAGCTGGTGTTCTTGCTGCTATATCAGAAGGTGTCTCCAGGCCCCCAAAGTTGGGGTCAAAACACTTAGATCAATGATGGGCCACCAAGGTACTGACCCCTGATATCCACTGAGATCTATGGATCTGTGTCCCCCACTCTTGTCTGAAATACTCCCCATTGCCCCCAGCACGATGCCAGGTACAGTGAGGACACTGCTCTTAGGGCATCTCACAGACTCCTACATGAGTGTAAAGACTTTTGTCTCATTCATGTGTATAATTATAAAAGCAAGTCATAAGCATCTTGCAACTTTCTTCTCTTGCAACTTCACTGTGTCCTTCAAATGGAGCCACCTAAAAGAGCGTCAAGCTATTATAGGAAGAAGAGCCCAGACAGAGGTAGTTCAACCTCTCAGAGATCTCAGGGGGACTCCCAGGTCTTGTCTTTACCTTGACCTGGGGCAAGAAAGTAACCCAAGCCTCAATCTCTTCATCTATCAAATGAGAATAATAACACCCCCACTACCACACTGGAATGTTC